TCTGAATGCTGGATTCACTTCTTATGTGCATGGCCTTGGGCAAATAACTTCTCTGTTTTGTGCCTCTGATTCGTCACCTGTAAAGTGGAAATAATTATGGCTCCTTCCTCTGATGGTTATTGTAAATGTCAATGATCTAAAACAGGTATAGTTCTTAGAACAGTGCCTTACTCACACAGTGAGTGCTCATGAAATGTTAGCTGTTACTACAGATAAAGAAAACCTGCAGATGTTCTGACCTAGAGTGGAAATAAACACAGTGCATTGTGAATATCATAGCCTCCTCTTCTTCTCTACCCTGTCCACCCTAAATCCACTACAATTATGACATTCACTACAAACAATCTACATTCTTCAAAATTCTCTAGTAATGCCTCAGTTAAATTTTATTCCAACCCCCCTTTTTATTCAAGGTCCTCCCATATCCACATGAGGCTTCGGAAGCACAGCACCTTTGTTACCAAGATTGGCAACAGCCTCCCCAGCCCCTCACTGCCAGCTGTGTTGCCTGTTCCTGTACTGCTTTGGTTTTCTATGTCATCTTTGCTTTTTACCCCTAGAGTTTTTCATTTTATTGGGAATTCAACTATGTATTTAAAAATTTGTTATAGTTTATAAAGCTTTTCAAGGTGTTTGTAGAGAAAGCACATCTCACCTCTCATGTTGCCAGAAATGGAATCTAGTGAGCATTAAATGGCAGCAGACTTTCCTTATATCTCCTTACCTGGTCCTGAAAGATAAAAACAGGGACTCATTGTGCATGTAACCAAAGTCATGTCAAGTCCCCAAATAGGATAAACCAAAGAGCTTTTGCTCCCAAAAGAATAGGAATATTAAGGAAAATGTTCCTGGCACTGGGGAAATATGTATTAATTTAAAACTGGTCTAGAGATAAAGCTTGGGCAATTATCAGATTATAAAACATAGATAAGGCCATGAAGATGGGTAAAATTAGCCTGAGAAACCATCTAGAGTGAAAGGAGAAGAAAAGATGGGGATAGCTTTGGAAAATTCCAAATTTAAGTGGCAGGAAGGGCAGCTACTATAGAGGTTGGGAAAGGAAATACGTACATATATTATATATAGTGTGTATGTTGTATATATATGTAGATATACATACACATACATACATGTATACATATATATACATGGACAGAGTAAACCCTAATATAAAACAGGAAATTTAATGTTAAAGCCAAAAGAGTCTTGTGCTTCAAAAAGGAGGGAGAACTCAATATTTTCAAATGCAGAAGAGAGATTATTAAGATAAAACCTGAGAAGCAGTCATTGGATTTAATCAATAGGGACTAACCGATAACCTTGACAAGATGAATTTCAGTAAAGCGATAGATAGAATTGAGAATGTAGTGGATTGATGTGAGTAGAAATATAATGTTACAGCAATTGTGGAGTTCATACCTGCTCTTTCCTGTAATCCAGAAACATGTATACAAATCTTACTGTATATCACCTTTGGATTTCACATAAACACTTCAAAAATCAATATATCACAAATCAAATTCACTCTGTCTCTGCCTGTCTCTCTTCCTCCCCAACCAAATTTCCCTCCTCCAATACTCCGTGTCTTGGTTAATATCACTGCTGCATATTCAGTTTTTCACATGCAAACTGTTCAATTAAATGTGAGAGTAGACGGTGAGTTTTGATAGCCTCTAAAGCAGTCACTCACGCAAGAAGGGACAGCCGTTCCGTTTTCTAGTTGGTACAAGCCCTCAATTTCTCGAAATGAAACAACTTGTGGAGGAAGAGAGGAAGAAAAACATCATTTTATTACATTTTTAAGCTTGCATTTTTGCCACACAAGGCTCATGTAAGGCATTGATTGCAATCCCATCTCAGTTTCACAGCTTGTAGAGTCAGTCCTCTTCCCAGGTATAGGCAAGCAGTTGGGTCTTATTCCTGGCGGCTGTTTGATTTTTATCTTTCTCTGATGTTTCATAAGTATTGGAGTAAAATGTACATGTCTAGTCAGCTAGCTAAATGTCATTTTAAACCAGAAACCATCTCTCTGATTTATTTCTTTTCGCCAAATGGAATTTATAATTTTTTTAGGTTTCCAAATAAATTAATGGGGATATTGATTGGGATTGCATTATATCATAGTATAATTTTGGAATGTGTGGTTATCAAAAGGGATTGACAATGTCATTAAAGAAAATTCAACAGTCCAGATACGATGCAATTTTTTTTAATGGTTATAGGATAAGGAAAGGTATGGAATTAATTTCATAAAGCAGAAGAAAGCACAGCATAGTCTAGAAAAGGGGACAGTTTCCCAGGTCCCCAACTTCCCTGTGGGTGTGTATAGTTGCTGCGGCTGATGCCCCTCCTGTAGAGTGGCAATTCTGCCAGTTTTTCCCTCCTGGTCACCCTCTTTCCTGACCTGGTGACTCAATATCTACCTTTCTGCTCATCAGGTGTAAGAAATAGGTTCACAGCAGTCCAGCTAGTGATCCCTCAGGGTTCCCTGGGAGACGGGGAAGGGAAGGTCAGTTTCTTAGGATCACTGTCAGTGACCTAAGCTCCAGTTCAAGCCAAGACCCATTCCTGAAAAAATAATGTCCAGCTTAAAATATTTAATTAATACTTAATAAATAAATAATCAAATTATTAATTATTTGATTAATTCAATAAAGTATTTAATTAATATTTAATTTTAAAAAGTTCTCCTTTTTTATTTATTTATTTTTTTGGTGAGGAAAATTGGCCCTGAGTTAACATCCCTTGCCAACCTTCCTCTCTTTGCTAAGGAAGATTGTCTCTGAGCTAACATGTGTACCAGACTTCCTCTATTTTGTATGTGGGATGCTGCCACAGCATGGCTTGATGAGTGGTGTGTAGGTCCACACCTGGGATCCGAACCTGCAAACCCCAGGCCACCGAAGCGGAGTGCACAAACTTAACCACTATGCTATTGGGCCGACCCCTAGTTCTCCTCTTCATAACAGATCTCCACATTAGTTTGTATCTTCTTTCAACTCTCTCCTTAAAGTGATTTGTTTCTGACTTGTCTTAGGCTCTGTATATTTCTCACAATAATTGTAATTAGGGGATGTATGATTTTGTAACAATTTCACAGAGATTCATCCTTTTCTAAATATCTTGTAACAGGATCCTGATTTTGTTTATAAATGCTTATCAAATGTAAATACCCCTTTGCCTATCATTACATGGTGTATGAAATTATTTAACAATCCACTGTCTCCCTCAGTCAAAAATCTTCGCTATAACTGTTTTTACTATCTCTTCTCCCAACGTTGGAGGTGAGGCAGAAAATAGAATAAGCAGTAAAAATGAAAAATCTCTCTGCATTAAAAAGGGGATCCAGATGGTTTAAATAATTGGCTTGCAGTGGCAGTGAGGTATTTAAAGAAGCAGGAAAAATAATAAAAGCAAAAGCTTGGATACTGTTAGCATGTTTTTAAGTTGCGGTGTTTTCTCAAATTAAATTTGCTCTCACGTAGTTTTAACGTTGTCGTATACTGATTTTCTTTACAACAGCTATCAAATATTTGGAAGAATTTTAAAGGCTATAGAATCTCTCTCACATAAATCATACCTTCCCAACTATACACAGTAATCTGATTCTAGAAATACTTCAGAATTATGTCTAAACCCAAATTAAGAATACTTGTTTTAAAACTTGACCTTCTCTTTACTCTGTTGCCTATACCTTCCAGCCATATCTTCTTTCTGGTTCTGCCCTCTCGCGCTATTAAAAGAAACTTGGCTTATTTTTCTTTCTAGTATTTACATATTCAGAGGCAATGATCATGTCCTCTGAACTTTCACATCTCCCAGTGACACCTCTGCATCTACTGTAAATGATCTTAACAACACTTTGGTTTGAGTTTCTGCCTTCCAAGTGCCTATGGATGTTAAATGAACAATAAAAAGGACAAAAGATTCTAGGATGAGATTTAAGGATTCTGCTTTTGGTGATTATATACTAACAATTTTGAAATACCTGCTAAACATTAAAATCCAAGCTCTAGTTTCCAATGTTTAATGATGAACATATTCCATTTTTTAAGAAAAGAGAAAAATGTTGAGATGGAAATTTTGGAAAACTAAAGTTTACTTTAAGAAGAAGTGATTTTCCAACTTTAGATAGTAGGTAGCTGGTAGATGATGATGAAGATAGATGATAAATAGATAAAATATATATAGCTTATATATTTCAGATGGAATTACTAACGTCAGTCCAAATGCCTTATTACTTGCTGAGAAGTAACATCATTAAAATAGCATGGACTTTGGAGACAGACAGAGCTAAGCTGCACAGTTGGCTTTTTCACCTATAACCATTTCGATCTAAAAATGTTACTTAGCTTCTCTGAATCCCAGTTTCCTTCTGCTAAGTGACAATACTTATACGGATTCCATAGGTTCATGACATTAAGTGATGTAATGCACGTAAACTGCCTAGTACAGTGTCTGGTGCAGAGGCGGAGTGCAGTAAGTGTTAGTGCTACTTATGAGTATTTGCATCACATCTTGGCTATTAGATGCATTTTAGGATAATGGATAAGAGTATGGTTTTATAGCCAGACTTAATGGGCACAAATCCCAGCTTCACTACTTAGTGTCTAGGTAATAACGTATACATTACTTACTTTCTCTATGCTTTTGTTTCCTCATTTGTAAAGTAGGGATGATAATAATAGTTTTATCTCATAAGGCTGTTATGAGAATTGTTTAGTTGGTACTTGAAAGGGTTAAAGCACTTCATAGAATGTTACAAATGTGCAATAAATGTGAGATATCATTATTGTGCCAATAGTACAAATGCAGTGGATGTCATTTTTTTAACCAGTCTTCAATAAGTGCAAGCCATAGAAAGAATAATATTCTGTAAAGATCAGATGAATACATCCAACAAAAGAAGCAGTTTTTAATCTTAAGTTTGCTGTTTAAAAGCTAGGAGATGTTGTTCAAACTACTTCTCGGCACTGGACCCGTTTCCTTATCTGTAAAATGAAAGGTGTGACCTATGGGGGATCTTGGAGCTACAATTATCAATGACTTTACAAAATTCCATATTACAGGTAGTCAATAAGTCTTCAATAATACTGTAAAATAGTGAATGAAACAGGAGAAAGGATATGCAAAGGTAAGAGACATTTTTTGATTATCCATTTTGTGGCAGGCAGGATTGTAGACATTTTAACCTAAATTTAATCTACATATCTAAAATATTATTTGGAATTATCATTCATATTTTTTTTAAACTGCAGAATTAAAACTCATGACATTAATAATTTTCCCAAAAGAATAGGTAATAAACAATGAATTTAATATTTGTTCTGTAAAAATCCAAAGATCACTTTCCATGATTATCTTCTAGGTTGAATGCATATTACTATGCTCTGAGAAAAGTTGTAATGATTTAAGTATATTCATTTTCTCTACTGATATAACAAACTACCACAAAGTTAGTGGTTTTAAACAACACAAATTGATTATCTCACAGTTCTATAACTCAGAAGTCCAACTTGGATCTCACTGGGTTAAAACCAAGGTGTTAGCAGTTCTGTATTCCCTTTCTGGAGGCTCTAGGGGGGAATTGGTTTCCTTGCCTTTTCCAGCTTCTAGAGGCCACCTGCATTGCTTGACTCATGGTTCCATTCCTCCATCTTCAAAACCAACAATATTGCATGAGAGAGTCTCTACTCATTCTTCCATAGTCGTCACAGTTTCCTCTGAGCACCACAACCAGGAAGGGTTATTCGATTTTAAGGGCTCGTGTAATGAGATGGGACCCACACAGATAATCTGGGATAATTTCCCATCTTAAAGCCCTTAACTTAGTCACATCTACAAAGTCCCTTTTACCATGTGGAGTAACATATTCACTGGTTCCAGGGATTAGGACATGGACATTTTTGGGCATCATTATTCTGCGTACCACAAAAAATAAAGTTGACACGGAAAGCACAACCCATGGGAGAAAAACACTCCTTGGACTTCATCAAAATGAAATCTTTTGCTCTGTGAAGACATTGGTAAGAAGATAAAAAGCCAAGTTATAGTCTGCGAGAAAATATTGGCAAATGATATATCCCAAAATAGACATGTATGGAATATTTAAAGAACTCTCAAAACTTAGTCACGAGAAAACAAACAAGCAAATTAAAATATGGGCAAAATATTTGAACAATATTATATATTGTTACAAAAGACATAATATTAATATAAAGACTTACAAAAGAAGATACATGGATGGCACACAGAATATAAAAAGATCAGCGTAATCACTCACTAGAGAAATGCAAATTTTATCCATAGTGATATGCCATTACACACATGTAACAAATGGCTGTATCAATAACAGCAGCAACAATGATAATAATCATAATAATATTATAGCATTATACAATATTATATAATAATTATAATAATAATTATTATAAAAACAGACAATATTAACTGCTAGTGATGATACTGAGCTCCTGGAAGTCTTATTTTTTGCTGGTGGGAATGAAGAATGGTACAGTCAGTGTAGAAAAAATTTGACAATTTCAAAGTTAAACATTTTTACCATACGATTCACTACTTGTACTCTTAGATGTTTGTTTACCTTAGAAAAATGAAAACTTGTTTTCACAAAAACACATATGGAAATTTTTATGGTAGCATTCTTCACAATCACCCAATACTGGAAAGTACGCGAACATCCTTCACTGAGTATGTGGATAAACTGTGGTCCATCCATACAATGAAACGCTGCTCAGAGACGGAAAGGAATGATCTGCTGACACACACAACAACATGGACAAATCTCAAACTCAGTAAGCTAAGTGGAAGACCCAGACTTCAAGGTTACATATTGTATGACTCAATTTAAATGACATTCCAGAAAAGGCAAAGCTATAGGGAAGAAGGAGAGATAGGTGGTTGCCAGAGGTTGGGGAGGGGGAAGGAGTTGACTCTAAAGGGGAAGCACAAGGGAAATTGTGGAAGTGTATCCTGTTCTATGCAATAGCCTGATTGTAGCAATAGTTATATGACTATGCATTTGGCAAAATTCACAGAAATGTATAACAGAAAAATAAAGTGATTTTCAATGTGTATGAATTTAAAAAATTTTTTTAATTGAAGAAGAGCAGATTAAAATGCTGGAATTAATATACCCACTAAGCAATAATAACTCATTTAGAAAAGGCGTTAAAAAGGAAATGAATGACTTTCATACACTAATGGAATGCAAATTGAGTAAATTACTGTGGAAAACTCTTTGTATTATCTATAAAAATAAATATATACATACCAAGCAGCTCTTGTGCGTATGTCTGAGAGAAATGCGTACATTGTACTCATAAAGACATGCAAAAATTTTATAGCAGTGTTATTAATAATAGCTCCAAACTGGGATCAGCCTAAAGGTACATCAGTAGTTGTAGTGGTTAACATAATAGCAGTGTATCATGAAATAAAGTGTTATGCGGCAATGAAAATGAACGAGCTACTTGCTACATGCTGCAACTTACAAAAATTTCACAAACTGAATATGTAGTGAAAGAAATACATTCTCGAAGGTTGTATTTTCTAAAGTCGACTGTAACAATATCTTTAGTATCACATGCTCTTCTAGAGCCTTGCCTTTCCTCCACCAAGAAGTGGAGTCTAGTTCAAGTACCTTGAATCTGTGCAGGCTTTACATTTTTCTGTCAACACTAAAAGATGGCAGAGGTGACAATACCTGACTTCCAAGGTAGGTCACAAAAAGAAACTCAGCTAAATATTCCAGGAAGCCAGAGGAAAGGAGATCTATTTTATGTAGTGGTATAAAGTAACAAAACTAAACTTTCTCATGGTATCATTAAAAATAGAAAACTTCCTGAATGAACCGGATAATCTAGTTAAGAAGGTTCCTGGCAGAGTTCTGAGGGCTCTGTCTGGCTTCTTCTTGATGCCTACAATAAAATAAGAGAGGAGAGACGTGGTCTAAAGAATAACTTATTCACTTCCCAAGTGAAATTAGAAGGAAATATAAAGGTGCCAGAACTATTATTATTATTTTTTAGCTAGCAAAGGGTTCTTAAATTAAGAAATGACTTCTGAGCTAGGATCAAACCCAGGGTGAGACTGAGCCCTTTTGTCAAGATCTCTGAAAGACCTAAGGTACAGTCTCATAGAACTGTTCACACAGACAAAAGGCTGTCTGAGAATCTTCAGAAAGTGCCTCAAGACTCTAAATATTAAGCAATAGAACTTCTAATAATCTTAAGGACGTTGTCCATCATCAGTCTCACATAGAGCTCTAGATAGAGGAGGTCCTCTCTGAAAGAGATTTGTGGACCTGGCTTTTGTCTAATTGAGTGTACTCTATTAATAGTCATAGATATCCACAGAATTTTCAGAGAATTGTACTAGTGAAAACACTGCCAGCTTGGACTAAAGGAAAAAAGACAGTCCAAAGGAAAGCAGGGCTTATGGCAGGCCTTTAGATCATCAAACTACTAGAGGTAGAAGGCAAACTAAGAAGAATATTCTGTTGAAATCACAGGCAACTTCTTACGGACAGGGAAGGATGACTCAGGGCAGAACCAAGACGCTACAATGCACATCCAAGAAGTGGAACTGAGCCCTAAGTAAAGAAAAAACTGGCAACATACCTCCAGTTGGATTTCGGAATTACTGTGGAGTGGTAAGTGCTGTGGGCTCCCAGGTCCCCCCTTTTAAAGCAGAAGAGTTTGCAGTAGTGATCCTATGCCAACTCCACCACTGTATGCTGCGTGGCTAAGAAGATAATATGTTTTTTATGCTCACAGGTGTTCAGATTGGGAAGAATGGTATTCAAGGAGCTGTACCTGAGGAATTACACCTGAAGAACCTCATCCTCACTTGGACCTAATTGAAGGTAAAATTATGATGACTCTGATATAATGAGATGAGGTTTTGAAGTGTATTGGGAGGGAGTTATACTAACTCCCTTTGCATGTGGGAGGAATATATATTGTTGAGGCCAGACAATGGACTGGGGCAGATTATATTTTCCAAAGTTGGTCACATTATCGCTCATCCCACTTGCTCTTCTAGAACCTTGCTACCCCCACTCTGCCATCAAGACATGGAGTCTAATTTCACTCTCCTTGAATATGGGCAAGCTTGACTTTCTTGTAACTGATAGGATATGGTAGAAGTGATGATGCATGTCTTCTGAGGCTAGCTCACAAAAGACACTCCAGTTTCTGCCTTGAAAACAGGAACATTTGCAATTAGAGCTCTGAGTCACCAAGTAAGCAATCTGAAGCTGCAATGCTGTAAAAAACTTAATAAATAAATACAGCCCAAACTAGCCCATGTGGACAAACCATGTAGAGAGACTCCATGACTACATAAAGAGAGAGAAATATCTCCACTCAGCCAGCTCCCAACTGTTCCAGCCCAGCCCCCTCCCACCCTGCTGTTGGAGCTTCATCCGCCATGTGACTTGCAATTTCTTGAGAGACTCCAAGCCAAAACCACCCAGCCAAGCCTTTCCCCAATTCCTGATCCAGAGAAAGCATGAGAGATCATAAAATTATTGGTCTTAATTTAAACTACTAAGTTTTGAGGTAATATGTCAGTAGCAATACATAACTATAATACACATAAGATAATATGTACTGTGTAATATTATATGTGTGTGTGTGTGTGTGTGATCAGGCAAAAATAATGTGGAAGAAGTCAGGGGAGTAGATGTGGATATTTTAGGATAGGAGGGGGCTAGAAAGTAGGAAGAGTCTGAGAGGGGCCTCTGAAGTAGGGTAATATTCTATTTCTATGCATGATTGATAAAAACACAACTGCATTTATTTTTTGCTAATTCATTAAGCTGTAAACTTATGACTACACAAGTCATATACTTGTGTATACTAGAATAAAAATGTGAAAGAAAGAAAAATAAAATAAAAAATCCATAGTGCCACTGATAAATTAGTGAGGCTAAAACACCTGCAAAAGATTTATATGGTGATAGACATGATTAGAGTTGCTCCAAGTCCAGAATCAATGAGATTACGGTAAAGGAGAGAGTGATATCACTCAGCCAGTGATTCACAGCCATCCATTTCGAGGCTCTTGAGTGACAAGAAGAGAAGGATGTCTACCAGTTCCCTAGCTGCAGACGTGGACAGGGAAGAATGTTATATATTTTCTGTGTTGCTCACTCTTTCACCAGTGCACTCTTCCATGCCTTCACCAAGCACCAAAAAACAAATATCTATTGTATCTGTCTCCTTCACTAACTACCAAACTCCATTCAGGTGTCTCTTAAATAGGTAAGTTATTTTATGATTTTCTTTTGCTAATATTATTAGCATTCTTTATGTCTCTTTAACGTGATATTTTATTGTTAGTTTATATTATAGCACTTGTTAATAAACATTAAGCATAGTAGAAGAAAAACATAATTCATATTTGATATTTTTCAGTGCATTTGTATACTATACGCAAAAGTGCACATTAATGAGTTCATTAGTTGTTAGATAATTAGGTAATTACTTTTAAAATAGGTTATGTTATGCATATATGTTTCATGAATTGTCAAGTGAATGCATAAAAGTGTTTTAGTGGTATTTGGGAAAAATTTTTCATGGTGTTATACTGCATTATTATTTTTCTCCCTTAGTTAAATAGGGTCTGCTTCCAAAAATTTAACGTATAACGTATCTTAGTAATGGATTTAATTTGGATAAGAATGGGGACCTGTGAATAAGAATCTCCTATAATCAGTAAGAAAGAGACTGTCAAACCAAGAGAAAAATGGGAAATTTGCAGGTTCATAAATATGCAATTCACAAAAGATATATTGGTAGGTTGTGTTGTAGGTAGAATAATGCCTTCTGAAAAATGACTGCATCTTAATCTCCAGAAACTGTGAATATGTTACCTTACATGGCAAAAGGGACTTTGCAGATGCCTTGCCCAAAGTCATGGGTAGCCTGCATCTATGACTATTCAGTGCAAGGGTATAAAGTCCCAGCCCACTTGCCATAATACAGAACAACTCTGAAAGACCATCATAGCTACAGATTGTGCCAAGACCTTTGTTAAGAGTACATCACAGCTCAACTTCTACCTCTGTCCAAGCCTACATCCTTTTCCTCCCTTCCATGGGTATTGAGCTCAGAGGCGCTCCTGAATCAATATCCTGTATGTTAATCTCCATCACAGGATTTTCTCCGTGGAAAATCAAATCTGCCACAGCTAGTGTGAGTGGTGTGTGTGCAAATATGTGCAAGAAAAGAAACTGAGTGAAAGCCACATCTGTGTTGGTACAGAGGAGACAGAAGGGAACAGCAGTGGAAAACATTAAGGGTCCTGTAGATTCCAAAACAACAAACATGAAGTGAACCTGAGAGCCTAAGGACATAAGAGAGTGATATCAGTGAAAATGGCAGAGTAAGAAGCTCTGAAAATGTACTCCACCATAAGAACTCAAAGATTGTTAGAATCAACTTTTCCAGAACTCTGGAAATTGACCAAAGGTTTGCAGCACTTGGGGAGCATTTATTCAAGAAAAAGAGCTGAATCTCGGTAAGAACAGTGAGCTTTGCACTCTGGGGAGTTCCTCCACTCCCCAGCTCTGTGGCAGCCTTGAAAACTGAGAAGGCCCTACACTCTCACTCTGGTTAACCCTGAGGATCTGCACAAGTAGGAAGTGCAGACGAACGCAGACTTTGCAACTGCCAAGTGCTGAGGGTATGCCCCAACATGCACACAGAACCTCTTGGCAAACACAAGAGCCTTCTTAGTTCTACAATTTAAGAAATCTCTCTCCAATCATTAGTTGTCCACTAAGCTAATTAAATACAGACTTCAGTGGCCATATAAGACAAATACAGATTTTACAGAGTTAATTAATACAAGGTGTTCAGTTAAAGACAACAACATCAACTACAACAAGCAGCAAAACAACAAACCCTGGGGAGGAGGAATATCTGATTTCAAGAGTTGCAATTATTTAAAATTTCCATTTGCTTTGTTTATTCAGCAACAACAAAAATAAGACACGCAGGGAAACAAGAAAGTATAGCCCATAAACTAGACAAAAAACAATTAATCAAACTTTCTCTGAAGAAAGCCCAGACATTGTATTTACTAGACAAAGATTCAATCAGCTATTTTAATGTGTTCAAAGAGCTAAAGGAATTGATGTCCAAAGAAGCAATGGAAAGTGTGAGGATGATGTCTCACCAAATAGAGAAAGCAATGAAGTGATAGAAATAGAAGAAGAAGGTGGAGAAGGAGGAGGAGACAGAGGAAGAGGAAGAGGAGGAAGAGAAGGGGGAGCAAGAGGAGGAGAACAAGAGGAAAACAGAAATTCTGGAGTTGAAAAGAACAATAACTGAAAATAAGAATTCACTAGAGAGATGTGTTATGGGTTGAATTTTTTCCCTTTAAAAAATATGTGTGTGGTATTGGAATAAGGATAGACATATAGATCAATGCAATAGAAATAAGAATCCAGAAATAAACCCATACAACTATGCCAACTGATTTTCAACAAGGGTGCCAAAACCATTCAATGGGTAAAAACAAAAATAGTTTATTCAACAAATGGTGCTGGGACAACAGGATATCCACATTCAAAGAAGATAAACACCAACGTCATACCATATAAAAAAAATTAACTCAAAATGGACCAAAGACCAATACATAAGAGCTAAGACTCAAAAACTCTGAGAAGATATCATAGGGGTAAATACTTTGACCTTGGATTAGGCAGTGGTATCTCAAACCACAAGTAACCAAACAACAACAAAAAAATAGACAAATTGGAATTCATGAAAATTAAAAATTTTTGCTCATCAATGGACACTATCAAAAAGTTGAAAAGACAATCCACAGAAGGAGAGAAAATATTTACAGAATATATAAAGAACTCTTACAACAGAACAGCAAAAAGACAATCCAATTAAAAACTGGGCAAATAATTTGAATAGATATTTCTCCAAAAGAGATATACAAGTGGCCAATAATCACATGGAAAGGTGCTCAACATCGTTAGTCAGGAAATACAATTCAAAATTTCAATGTGATACCATTTCACACTCATTTTAATGACTATAATAAAGTGGAGATCAAATGTTGAGGAAGATGTGGAGAAATTGAAACCTTCATACGTTGGTAGTGGGAATCTAAAATGATACAGCACAGAAAAAAATTCTTTGTCAGTTCCTCAAAAAGTTAAACATAAAGTCACCATATATTCAAGAGAATTGAAAATATGTATCTACAAAACTTGTATAATGAATATTCACAGCATAATATACTCATAATAGCCAAAAGATGGAAACAATTCAAATGTCCACCAACTGTTGAATGGACAAACAAAATGTAGTATATCTATGCAATGGAAGATTATTCTGCCATAAAAAGGAATTGTGTATTGTTCCATGCTACAAATGGATCAGTCTTGAAAACACGCTAGGTGAAAGAATCTAGTCTCAAAAGACCACGTTTTTGATTCCATGTACATGAAATGTCCAGGGTAGACAAACCAATGGAGACAGTAAGTACATTAGTAGTTGCTAAGGGCTGGAGAAGGAGGGAATGAGGAGTGGCTGCTAATGAGTATGTGGATTCATTCTGGGTTGCTAAAAATGTTCTGGAATTAAATAGTTATGATGCTTGCACAACTTTGTGAATATAATAAAACCCACCGAATTGTATACTTTAAAATGGTGAATTTTGTGGTATATGAATTATATCTCTAGAAAAAAGAACATAAGGCAATGTTCATAAATTATCAAAACAACATGGGCTGTGGACCTCGGGTGACATGTGGATTTCTTTTGAACTATGTTGGTGGATTTAGAAGAACTTTTAAGATTTCCCCGTTCTATCTCCATAGACTTATGGAGTATTAATTCTAAGTCGGCTTCAAAACAATTGAATAAAGACAGGGTGGAAATAAAATCCAGTAATACTTACTCTTTTTGTTTCTCTTGTATCTTGGAATCAGCTCAGGAAGGGGAATAGCATTCATATATACCAGTACTATGTGAAAGTCAGTGAAGATAAATATCTTTTAATAAATATAATCTAGGGGAAAATCTTCATTTTACAGATAAGGAAATTTGGATTAAATAGATTACTTTATATACCAAAGTGAAAGATCTGGTAAGAGGCAAAGCTAGGATTTGAAATTGATATATTTGAGTCTAGCTTCATACTCTTCCTACTTTCCGATACTTTTCCTACAATGTTTACATCTTATCCCCATAAATACGGAGGGGAGAATATGCATATCTGAATTAAGGCTCTATTACAGCCATAGCATACTACCAACACCATGTTATCAGTGTCAACATGAATGGGTTGTCTAGTTTGCACATTTGTAAAATGTACTGTCATGTAGGTTGGGGTAGCAGAGCCAACATATCACAACAAGATAAACATGTCAGGACCCATCAATGTATATATAACTAATGACACCATGGTGTGAGCAGCAACTCTTCTGAGGAAAAAGCAATCACAGAAGAGGATTTCTCCACAAGGAAGAGCCTTCATGGCTCCATGTCAGGGATGTTGGTTGCCCCTCTGCTCTCCTAGTGCTCAAAGATCCAGTTTCTTGCCTAGGCAGCCTCAAATAATAGATCTTTATGGTCAATGTTCTGTGGGCTTTAATCCTTTCCACAAAGAAATCTGTGTGCATATTACTAGTTAATCTAGACAGATTAGATGATGATAAATTGTGAATTTATTGTTATGTTAAATAATTCTATAATTAACATAAAATAATTTGGAAAATCAACCTCTGGTCTGTTTCCACTTACAGTACTACATCAAAGCCCACAAAGAGAATTCAAAGGGGCTCATTGGATCTTATCCCCACCCTTAACTCTGTTAAATCCAGGATCAGGAATAACCTCAGTAATCGTTATCCACTAAAATTACTTCTTTAGACTTTTATATTCTCTGGAAATTTTCACGGGTATTTTAATGGAAATTAGGGATGACAGTTTTCCACAGATTCTCAGCCAGCTATGCAAGGGAGTGGAGAGAATTTCATCACCAACGCCTTTTCCTTTCAGTGGCTTTTGTTCCCTCTAATCCAGCAATACGCTCTCCCCAGTGAAACCCTCCCGATCACCACGACGCAGGGGAAAACACTTTCCTGGCTGAGGTCTTGTTAAATTTCTGTGTTTCTACTTTCCTGACATGTTGATGTTGTTATTTGGTTTTGTTTGTTTTCCCCAAATTCTGTTTGGTCTGTCTGCTTCTGTAACTTCTCAGTTCCAGAAAATACATAGAATTATAGTTTTACACGTGTGATGAATAAGTATAGCTTAATTCCATTTTATAAAAAAAAGTTGTGCCTCTCTGACTGGTAAAAGGTGACCAGAGAAGTTAATAAAAGAATGAAGGCAGGTAACTTCATAAAATAATGCACTTGAATTCTTAATAGCTTTCCAAATAAGTTACCACATAGAGACCCTAGTGGAAAATAAATAGCTATAGGCTAAGAGACTGTTGGATTAAATGAAAAACTAGAGAAGCAATAGTTCAGGAGAGAGAGTTTCTCTGAGGTGTAGAAAAGGGTTCCAGAAAGTTCAGAGTTCCAGAAAGTTAATATCTGGAGTGTCAATAACTTATCCCAAAAGAAAAAGGAAAAAGAAAAGGAAAGACCAAAATCCCTTCATATTATTAGCCTGTGTAACAAGTCACTGTTAAAAAGAGTAGAAGACTTCAAACATTTATGATGGGGGTTTAAAACCAATATAATTAATTTCAACTGTTATTTTTGCTACAGATACCATATGATAGGGTAATATAGTTCAGATATTCAGTAAGGTTTGACAACAGAAACTGTTTAGCGCTAAATGTTGCTTGGCAATCACTTAGCTTGATAAAACGTCTAAATGCAAAGTGACTACAAAGTGACTATCAGCAGCTTCCAAGTGATAAAGAGGAAAAAGAAAAAAAAACTACAAAATGACCACCCATGAGGATACTGAGGTTTAGTTAGGTAACTAAAGATGATGATACTAAATTTCTAAGCCTAAGGGTCAGATTTAGAAATATGGATATATCACTCACCAACTAAAATTAAGAAAGTATTATGTAAAAATTCCAAGATCCAGGGGCAGATTTATCTGCATGTGAGAGATGTCCATGAGCAGCAGCAGGCGTGGTATTCCCAGGACAGAGAGAGGGAGCTGAGTTTCTTATATAGAGCCCCCCAATCAAATCTTTGACTGCCCTCCAGAATGAGTGGCAGAAGACAGTTCGCCACTATTACAGCCACACTTATGGGGGTTGAACTGAAGCTTGGAAGCTCTAATCAACAAAAACGAGGTCTTGAAGTTAACTACACATCCATTGCCTGCCTATTCTCCAATAGAGGCTTCAAAACACCCTCTTGGGGGTTAGTTAGTAGAGGTAATCTATTAGTCATCTATAGCTTGTCATCATGTCATAATACATGGGTCTTAATACATGTTTGAATTTTATCATTTGCACATTAAAGTCCTCTTCCAAATTTGAAACAAACACTAGGGCAATATATATAGTTAAAAGGAAATCTGGAAAACACATGAATAGACTTCAACTTTAAAATTGTTTCTGGCTAAAGCAGCTAGAATTATGTCATCCATCCTGCCTTTAACACTTAGCCTGATAAGTTACAGAAGATAATGAAAGTTCAGAGCAAAATCAGAAATACTGAGACTGCCCATGTCAAAATCTAGGGGGAATTTCCACTAAATTTACACAATTGGAGTTGAAGTCAGAAAATATTACTGGCTTTACTTCACAACATAATTAGGATTTGTTTTAGAAGGAGAACTAAATTTAAAGATTTGAAAGATAAATAATATGTTTTCCATTACCTTCCTTTGATGTATTAATTTTTAAGAGTTAAGATTTTTATTTCAAAATTATTTTAAATTTATAGAAAAAGCATTTTAATATTAGAGGATGCACAATAAAAGTGAGTCCACCCATTTCTTTCACTTCCGATTTACAAGGGGTAAACTCTCTACTTTTCACTGTGCATATGTGTGTGTGTGTGTTTGTCTGTGTGTGAGAGAGGAAGACAGACAGACACAGAGAAGCAGAGATAGCAAGAGAGAATGGAAAAAATCCAAGAGAATATTTGTTATTCATTTTTTATAGAAATATTTCCCAAACTCTATAATTAATTTAAAAATAAATGTAACAATATATTGGGGCTGGCATGGTGGCATAGTGGTTAAGTTCATGTGCTCTACTTCAGTGGCCTGAGGTTCACAGGTTCGGATCCCAGGCGAGGACCTGCACCCACTCATCAAGCCATGCTATGGTGGCGTCCCACATACAAAATAGAGGAAGATTGGCACAGATGTTAGCTCAGTGACAATCTTCCTCAGCAATAAATAAATAAATGTAACCATATATTAAAGTTATCCATGTAGGAGTTATGGGTCCACGTCATTCATCTTAGTAATTGTATATTATTCATCACATCAACATATTTCTTTTAATTAACCATTGCCATTGATGTTTATCATCAATATTAATGCAGTGCCTATCTATGCACATAAGGTCTGAAATTGCACTCTTAAATTTTGAGATGTGCTGCAAATGTGCTTTCTAAACCAGTTTCCACTTCCATCTGAATGTATCAGGTTGTCTTTTTTCATCCAGACCATGACCTACAGTGAATATTGTAGCTTGAAAAAAAGCTTTAAAAAAATTACCATTATTAGAAAAATTCCTTGATATCAGGAATCAGAAAAGAATGCTTGTTCAACTATGTTTATTCAGCTTTGCACTAGAGATCCTGACTGCTGCAGTACAGCTAGAGAAATATGTAAGAGGCAATGGAAGTAAAAGGAAGAAATAAGACTATCATTATCAGCAGACGACATGATTTTATCATAATGAATCCACAAAAATATGCAGGAAAATTAATAGAATTAATACATGAATGTAGCAAGATCACTTAATACAATGTAAACATAAAACAAAACAAAGTATAGTCTATATACCAGAAATTTTTAAAAACTTGAAATATAAAAGGTTACATTTTTAAAAAGCATTCTAGAAGAAAATAAATGTCTAGGATTAAATCTAACAAAGTTATGTCACATTTCAACATTAAAAAACACAAAACATAATTGATAAAAGTTCAAGAAGACCTAAATAAATGGAAGAATGCACCATTTTTATTATTTGGAAACTGAATATCTTAAAGTTCTCAATTCTCCTCACAATCTATAAATTCACCATTGGAGAATTTACAGTACATTACTATTATCAAGACATTTAGAAAATTATAGTACTGTAGACAGTATGGAATTGGACAAGAATAAACAAATAGACCAAGAGAACTGAATAAAGTCTGGAAACACACATACATACATGTTACCACACAAAGGGCACCATCTGCTCACTACAAGACAAAAGCCAATCATCAAGAGGCAAGATGGTGGAAAATAAAGGGCAATTTATTACAGCTTGCTAGCAAGGGGGAAGGTGGCCAACTAATGTCTCAAAAAACCATCTTAAGGCGGCACAAAATCTTACAGCAGTTACATAGGTCATAAGATTATGGGCGGGGGGTGGTTAGGAATGTTGACCTTCTAGTGTTGTAGACTGGTTGTGCCACACCAGATCTTTCACTTTCATTGATGATGGCTATCAGCATAGATTCTCTGTTTGGGGGTCATCTCGTTCCTAAGGAACTCTAAAGAAGGAAGTTGTCATCTTATTGCAGCCCGGAGGTACACACCCAAGCAGGAGTCTTAAAATCTATAGAGCAATTAGATCTCCTGGAGGGTGCATATCCAGCTGGGTTAGTTTGTCAGAGGTCATTCAAAGTTACAATAGGGTTTCTTTTCTACAGTATGGCTTCCCTCATGTCAACCTCATCTTGAGCCAGTATCATACACAGTTACCTGACACTGAAGTATGATGAGGAAAGGTTGGACTTTTCAGTAACTGGTGTTTGGTGAATTGGCCATTCTGATGAGAAAGAGAAAATATTCTTTATCCCAACCTCACACCATAAACGTAAATCAATTGCAATGGGATTACAGAGCAAAATGTGGAAGGAAATACAAAAATGCTTTTAGAAGAAAACATAGGAATTACTTTGGAATGGGTATATATTTCTTTTTCAGGACACAAAAAGTGCAAACTACTAAGAAAAAATTATAAATTGTCCTATATCGAGTTTAAAAACTTGTGTTCATCAAGGCACCAGTAAAGAGAATGAAAAGGCAGGCCACAAAGTGGGTGTAGACATTTAAAGTACAAAGGGATTGTATCCATGATTTATTTAAAAGTCCTGAAAATACTTTTTTCTTTTTGCCAATAGAAAAAAGACAGACAAGATAATAGAAAAGTGGGCAAAGAACTCAGAGAGTATTGACTGAAAGATGGATATGGAGGAGTAGTGTTTCTTAAATGGTGTGTTGGCTACATGTGTGTGTGCACTTTGTGAAAATTAAAAGCTATAAACTTGGAATCTGTGCTCTTTTCTTATGTATACTTCATTTCAATATAATGCTTATATAAAAATAAATAAAATACTTATTTCAAAAAAGTACATGAAAAATACAAGAACCTCCATTTGGTTTTTATGCCACTATCTGAGCAAGCTGAAATAGAATATATTTTCATATTTTTATTATCAATGTGTATTTCTTCTTCCAGAAATTGCATAACCATGTCCTTTGTTCATTGGATTAATTATCCTTTTCTTCTGGATTTATAGACGTTATAGATGGATATATACAAGTATACATATCTATAAGTATAATAAGATTAGTATTTTCCTTCAAGAGTTGCTGTGAAGCTAAATTGAGAAAATTTTGTTAAGCATTTAGCATTTGTATTATACTTGATAATAATGAATGCTAGCTTTACTGTTAATGTTATTATTACTTCTTTTACAAAAAATATATATATTTACATATACACAAATCAGCCTAAAATATTATACATATTTAAGTGTTAAAAGTGGAGGTGTCTGGGAGGTATATTACTTGAGATCATATTTCTGTTTCTTTACCTACATTTTGCACTTCTTCTAAAATGTATCATGCGTGAATTTATAAACTAAGATATAAACATCTTAAAAAATGAGACTCCAAGAAAATAAAGCAGATTTTAACAAAGTTTTTATTTAAATGAAAAGAATATGGTGGTTTTATTTGTTTATACTTTTATATTTATCATTTTGCATTTATAGTACATAAAATGGATGTATATGTCAATTTCCAAAAATATGCTTGATATAATATTTTATAATTAAAAAACAGTATTATTATATTTATGTATAGATAAAAGAGTATAATCCAACCTCTTCAAATTTAGTGTTACATTGTGATTCCAATCTCCCAAAAGGACCATTTTATGAAACTAAACAATATAATTATAAAATCTATCTGAAAAAAAACCCTTTAATTTGGTCAAGAAAAAAAATTTTAAACATATATAATGAGAGAGAATTTTCCATATCCGATATTAAAATTTACTACATAGCTGTAGAAATAAAAACAGAAATAGCAATAGATCAATGGAACAGAATGCAGGGTATGGAAATTGACGCTTTATATATGGGGATTCGATATATGACGCAGAAGGCTTTTCAATGCAGCGATGAACAGAGTTTTAAATAAATGGTTGGAGACAACTGGATAAACATTAGGAAAAAAATAAAATGAGATAATTTAAAAAATAAAAATCTAACTTTCAGAAATATTAAAAATATCTAAATAAAAAATTAAACTTAAAATGATTGGAGTACAAAAGACCATAAGAATTGAGAAAACCCAGAGGCCAGGAAAGTCAAGACTGATAAACTAATTGTGCTAACATTTCAAAATTTTCCAGAATGAAATATACTTTAACAAAAAAATAGAAAATTAAGCAACCGGCTTGGAGAAAATATGTGCAACGTGTAATTGGCAATTCAGAATTTATGTATCATAAAGAAAAACACACCAAAAAAAACAGAAAAAAAGAAAATTATATGAATATTCAATTCAGGAAGTAAAACAAATAGTTAATAAAAACAACAAAAAATGCTCAACCTACTAGCAATCTAGTAAATTAAAATTAAAATAACACAATATCAGCCTGCCAAAAATTAAAAAGTGACTGATAGTATTCATGTTGGGAATACCTATCAGTATTGAAGATATACATATGATTCTCTAGCACAAATGCTATTCGAACTTTGATATGAATCACTGAATTTCTTGTTAAAATGCAGATTCTGAAACAGCAGGTCTGGAGGGGGACATGGAACTTTTTATTTCAGAAAGCTCCCATGTGATGTCAGTGCCACAAACACAATTTGGTAAAACTCAAAGATACACTTCTAAAAATATATCCTCGAGTGTTAATTTTGACACATACACAAAGATATATTTACTAGGATGTCTATCAGGGATTATTTTTAATTGTGAAAAACTGGAAACCACCATCTAAAAAGGAATATCTCTATAAACTAGGGTATAACCATTCTTACAGGATATTATACAGTAGTTTAAAGGATGAAAAAGATCTATCTATGCTGACATGAGAAGAGATCTCCATTAAGGGAAAAGATAAAGTTGCAGTAGAAAGTGTGCAGCATAATCCCACATATATTTTGCTGGTTATAAGGGGAAAGGCAAAGGTGTACATGTCAGGAAGGATGCCCAGGCTGTGTGTGAGTGTTGAGAAAAGAGGGTGGGAAGTACTGAGATGAGCCTCTCTAACCACCAGTGTCAGATTTCAAGTCAGGAGACACAGTTCCTGGTATAACAAACAACCCACTCAGTGTGGAATAATACAAATAATTACAAAACCACTTGAGTGATATGTTCTCTTTATTTTTCCCCCTCTCCTAGTGTTTAAATCTTATGTCTCCCTCTCCTCCTCTCCCCCATTTTTTGGTATACTTAAGTTTTTTGGTTGTTGTTAATAACTCTTGCTCTAAGGTAAATATGTGTGATGTAGTAGAACTGAGTGTAGAATTTAAAAATTTTCTTGCAGCAAAGTAATTAATTACAAAAATATCGACTCCACTCAGACTGCATTAGAACTTAATCACACTGATATACGCACTGTGTTGAATCAAATTTCAAGTTGAATATTCTGAGAAATCATGGAGAGTAAGAGGTGAAATTGAATAAACGTTAATATCGTCCTTATTCTAAAAGATAATCATTTATAGAACGTCAAAAAATTAGACTCAAAACTAAAGGGCAGCTTGAAGACTGCCCACACTAGCCCCATATAAGGTTTGACTTATAGGGCAAAATGGGCACATGCGTACAGTGATAGATGGCAAGTAGACTTTGGGTGGTGAACATGATGTAGTCTACACAGAAATCAAAATATAATGATGTACACCTGAAATTTATAGAATGTTGTAAACCAATGTTACCTCAATAAAAAAATTAAGTCAAAAAAAATAATAAAATGAAAAGCCAAAGGGAAAAAAAAAGATTTGACTTCCTTCTAGGATATGACCAACCATAAAGACACAGCATTCCCTCTTCCTGTCTAAACAAACGGTAGGTGAGAATTCACTAAGTCACCACCAGGATATTTGAATGCCCAATGGTTAATAAGGGCCCTATGCAATCATCAGATTTTACATACATGAAATTTGCACGCAGAAGGGATAATACATATGGAAACGTATTAAAGATATATATTGTGAAGATAGATTAGAATGCATTAAAACTGCAAGAATGGAGAGGCATTCTAAAGGTTATATTAATACATATAAATGGCTTACATTCATCCTGATAAAGAAGTGAATGTAATGTTGTATTTAGAGTAAAACTGAAACTAATAATGTGGATACTTAAGTTAGTGCTCTCTGATGTTCTTCAATGATGTGTTTACTAGATTCCAATAAGAAAGACAACAAATGAATGAGACATGTGGGGGTGGCCATAATGTTGGCAAATATCTCCGAAGTACTAGACTACACAAAGTACTTAAAAGTACTTTAAGGAATGGTAATCTAGTTTATACTCAATTTATTTCATTTCCCTACAAAGCCCTGAGGAACATATTCCATTTGTTGCACAAAAGCCAATTACAGTAATGGGCTGTTCGTAAGAGTTTCCAGCTTTCAGAATTAGTTCTTACTATTTAACAGTACATTTTCAGATGGCTGTGAGGCTAATCATTTCTAATTCTTCAGGAACTATGTTTATGGGATCGGCGTAAAAACTACACCATTCTCTTAGTGTTTGGTGTACACTAACATGAGCAAACTAACAGAAAAAGAGCATAGACAGACCTTGGTTTATGAGGAAAACAGAATCACAAAGAATAACTTCATGGTAACGAGGTCTCCTGGTGGGAATACAAATTGTTCAAATGCTTTTATGACATTCCCATTGGAAGAACAAGTCTACTTCAAAGCTAGTTCATGGAGTCAAGAAAACGTGGTCCACAGAAAAGTTCTTAGCTTTGGGGCTCCCTTTTTACTTCTTTAAATAAAACTTACTTAGACATGCAGTATGTTAGGAGGGGCTGCTCTGGTGGAAAAGAATGGGGAGGTTTCTAGATGTTTGCCCCTAGGTCTTGCCCTCTCATCTCCTTGGGATATGTACATTTTTGCTTTGTCCTTGGGCAAGTTATTCTCTTTTCTGGCTTCAGTTTTCTTGTCTGTAAAAGAGAGCAATCTCCCCTTTTCCATAAAGATGTTGAACAGATGAAACTGTGCAGTGTGGAAAAGTCACCCAATACATGTCCAGTAGCCAGCCCTGGTGGTCTAGCGGTTAAGATTCAGTGCTCTCACCACCGCAGCCCGGGTTTGTTTCCCTGCCAGGGAACCACACCACCCGTCTGTCGGTTGTCACACTGTGGTGGCTGCGTGTTACTGTGATGCTGAAAACTATGCCACTGGGATTTCAAATACCAGCAGGGTCACCCATGGTGGACAGATTTCAGCAGAGCTTCCAGACTAAGACAGACTTGGCCTGAGAAGGACCTGGCCACCCAATTCCAAAAGAATTGGCCATGAAAACCCTACGAACAGCAGCAGAGCACTGTCTGATATAGTGCCAGAAGGTGAGAGGATGGCGCAGGAAGACTGGATAGGGTTCCACTCTGCTGTACACAGGGTCACTAGGAGTTGGAATTGATTTGACAGCACTAACAACAAATATGCACAGTAGGTGTTCATTACATGTTGCTTTCTTTTCCTTAAGCCTGGGCCCCTGAAGCCCTAGACAAAGAAGACATTTTACTTTCTGGGCCCAATAATTTCTTGTTCTGGTCTTTGGGCCATAATCTTCTATTATGATCTGATCAAATGAGTCATTTTAGGCACTTCTTTGGCCCCTGAAGTTTTCTTAAGTCTCCCAGTATTTCTAGTGGGGGCATTATGGGCATTTGAAGAGGGAAAATTAATTGTGTAGGGCTGTCCCAAACATATAGGCTGCCTGCATCTCTCCACTAAATGCCAAAAGTAAATCAGTCATCGTAACAACCACAAAAAAGCAAATCAACAAAATACACCTACACATTTCCAGTGACCCACAATTCTCCCTACAAAAAACCCCTAGACCCTTCAAAATCCTACAAGAGTCCTTTCTACTTTATCTGTGATCTCACACAGATAAAATGAATAATAAATGAATGAAATACATTTATTAGCTAGTTTTTATAAGCTAGATTCAACTTAAGGTTTATTTAAGACAAAACTCATCTTCTTCACCTATTATTATAAACGAGATTTTGTTCCAGAACTAGAAGGTGCATGAACATGCAGGCAGCACCAACTCTTCAAGCTGCTGATACTTAGTTAGCTCTGAGAATTAAAAAAAAAAATTTTTTTAATCACATGGCCTGCATCCAGGAGAAACTGTAAATACCACTCTGGCTTGCAGGATGCGATCCACCTGTAAACTGGAAGCTTTGAAACTGGAAACAGAATCCCCACAATTCATGAGTCTTTTTGGACAGATTGTCAAGTTTACCCAATCAGCTTTTTTGACTGGAGTGCAACTAGAGCACTTTTTTAATTATAGTGACTAAATTTCACCCTCCCCCCATCCCAAATAACCCTGCACTTCGTTTTATTTAAGGGGGACCTTCAGTTTTTTGCACTGAGTTTCTTAATTCCTGCAGCCAGAAGTTGGAATAAATTCAGTTTGGAGCTCTTCAGATTGAGTCATTTACGATTTCCTGTCACAGCTTCTCTGCTCTAAAGCTGACTTCTGAGTCTTTCTGTTTCAAAATCCGAGTGGCCTATTTTTCTATTGGCTAATTTTCCTTGAAATTATTAGAGAATAATCTTAAGCCACCTCTACTTCTCAGCTGATTTGCAGAGCAGATGATTGGCAAGATTCTCTGAGAGCAGTGAAGACACCACTTCCTGCCTCAGTTTATCAGCCCTGCCGCCTCCCCTTGTTTCCTCTGAACACACGTGGGCCCTGTCCCCCAGGTGCCTGGTGCTCCTGAATTGAACTCTTTGTGTCAGGATAGCCACATGTCGTCACACACTTTGGCAACCACAACTACAATGTTCCCCTATAAGATGTGAGTAGTTAGTGTGTGAAAACCTGCCTGTGCTTGCACTTGACAAAGAGTCTGCCTCTCCCCAGCCACCCAGATCAGAAGACTGTGCCATCACTCAGGCTGGGGAAGCTGCAGACCCATAGCCCCGCAGCCGGAGGCCATCACCAAGCAGCTGTCAAAGGGAGTCACAAGTGCTTGCTCTTTCGGTGACAGTGGCTGCTCTCTGGTTCGGCTGCTGGTAATGAGCAGAGCCACTGAGAGCTTTTCAACAGATCTCCAAACCTCCACAAACGAGTCCCTGCAGGCTCAAGTAGGATGAGCTCCTCCAGTCCCTGACCAGACAGACAGAGAGTGAGGAAACCCCATGGCTGGACCGCTGGGCCTGCAATCCCATGGATCCAGAGAATGGCATTGCCCTCCTATATCACCTGGCTCCGCATTTCTCAAGGAAAAAGACGGGGAATATTACTAAGATATAGGAACGTGAGCACACAAAAAGAACTCTAACACATAGAATACAATATCACATGGGTTATAATCGGGACACATAAATATCCCTCTCCACTGTGATTCATGCTCAGATAAATACTTTTCATAGTATTGATAAATACTGTGCTCCCAAAGAGAAATTTTGTGGACTTTTGCCCCAACCATAGGAAGAAAAATACCAACATGCCTCCTGTTATTTTTTAAATTTTTTATGTTCTATAGGCCTTAGTAAATTTCCCACTTGCTTCAATTGTATTTATTCTTCATAAGAGGAAATTTGATGTTAATCTATTTGAAAGGTAGCAAATGAAACAAATCTCATGATCCACAGGAAAAAATATAACTCAGTATTATCCTTTCAGCTATTTAAATAACTGCTCCTCTCACTCAATGATCCTGCCATAAAAAATGCAAATTCTTGTGCCACACTAGCAGGTCCTTGCCCTGTGAGGGAGGTTGAATGGGTATCACTGACCTCCGTCTGATGACAGGAAGCCAAGGGTCAGAGGGAGGGAGTAGTTTGGTGTTTACTCGCAGTGTAGCACTCCTTCTCTTGTCCTGGACTGTGCAGAGAGCAGCTTATGTCCTTGGGGCTCACATAAAATCACTGTTCAGAATTCAACAAGGGTCGACAGAATTGGCACCTGACCGTCCAGACCCCATTTCATCTCAGATCTCCATGTTCCCAGTGCTGCTCACCCTCCAGGGCTTTCTTGGACCGGAATACCGTCCCAGCAAGAATACCACACTCCAAGCTCCTAATCTATTTTTTTTTTTAAAGATTTTATTTATTTATTTTTTCCCCCCAAAGCCCCAGTAGATAGTTGTATGTCATAGCTGCACATCCTTCTAGTTGCTGTATGTGGGACGCGGCCTCAGCATGGCCGGAGAAGCGGTGTGTCGGTGCGCCCCTGGGATCGGAACCCGGGCCGCCAGCAGCGGAGCACACACACTTAACCTCTAAGCCACGGGGCTGGCCCATAGCTCCTAATCTATTGCCTTCATTTTCCAGACTCTTCAACTACTGTTTACCCTCTCCTAACTTTAGCAAAAATCATTGTCAGACTAATAAATGATAATGTTCCTTTTAGCCCGCCCTTGTCTCTGTACCTGTCAAACCTATAGCATCCCCACGGGCAGACCTGAAGGAGCATATTTCAGCCATGCACTCTAATCTCGAACAATTATTGTGCAGAGAGGTGTGTGATAACACATACGGACATAAAGCTACTCACCTTACATTTAGAGAGATTCTGAATTATTTTCCCAGCAGGAGGAAGGATTTTCATTAAATCATCAACATTCTCAGTCTTGTTTCCCTTTGTTAACAAGAGATTATATATGGAAAATAGAAAAGGAAAGAAAGATAAATTATACATACTTACTCATACATACATAATATTTGTACTGTACTTGAGTTTTTCTGCCTTTATTCTTATTCCAAGACTTGAAACTGTGCATGAGAGACAATAACGTTTTGGAGAAGCTGCTCTAGGTTTCTAACGGGCCCCCCTCCTCCCCGGCAGAAACCACTCTACTACATCGTGTTGCCTGCGGTTGAGGCTTTCCCTGCACACTGTGTATGAAAATGCTACTTAATGTTCTAAGGGATCAGAAATATGTAACTACTGTTCCTAGAAAATTTTTTTTCATAATTGACCAAAATGTGATTATTTGTAATTTAAAATTTAGAAGAAATTGAGTCAATGTTGGAAATAATCTGATATTGAAATTAAAAATAACATTCAACGGTTAAAGTATTACTGAAGAACCAACCTGTAAAGTTCAGATAATTTCTATTGCTACCTTTTTAATGGTTTATTGATTATTTTAAGAAAATATTTTAATTTATCACCATGACATTTTATAAAAATATACAGCACAGAGAAGGAAAATGTTAATTGTGTGTATAATATGAAGTCTTAGTGTCATTAGCAAATTTTAAGGGACTAAATTGAAAGGAAAAACAAAACATCATTATCTTTCAATTTACTGGACAGTCTCCAGCACATAGTAGCTATTTCAAAACAATTTTTTAAATTAACCTAAATTAGGCTATGTGTGTGTGCACACAAATGCTTGTGTATTGTTTTGCTGCTGATTACACTTCTGAAACTTAGCATTTTTCTGGAACAGTCTCTCAGGGAGCTACTGGATATTGGCCCCGTGAACTAATCATTCTTACACATAATACATGTTTTTCCTAAGTTAACAGGAAAGATGGCTCTCTATTGCTAATTACTCTTAACTCCACAATTCAGTTAACTTTGACCTCCTCCATATTTCCCTTAATTTTATGTCATTAGCTCTAATTATGTTGTTATACACAATGCCACCCATTTCCACCCACTTTTGTTTATATCAACCTAACGTTTTGGATTCTTTAACAAGTTCCTGTTTCAGTTGACTCATAGACAAGCATTCATGTTGGTGATACTAAGTGTTGCCTATAAGTCATTTCCTAGTAAATTAGCTAATGCTTTATTTTTTTTTTTTGTTAATCCATGGACACTCCAAAATGCTAAAGGTGTTATTTTCTACATATATCTTTGATAAATAGTTCAGTATTAACTTCATTGTCCTAAAATAGGAAAAATAGTTCCTCTCTTGCAGGCTTTTTTATTGCAATTGGATGTGATAATACACATGAAAGAACTCTGTAAACTAAATACCACCCCCACGAACAATGCAAAATATTATTATCATCATTATGATTATTCTTCCTTCTCATAGAAATTCAAAATAAAAAAAAAAAAAGATCTGGTTCCTTGAATGTTAAAAACTCTACCAACCCTAATCTTAATCTAAGCCAACCCAGCATGGTTGTCCAAAGCCATATGAACAGAGAATCGAGCTGGACAAATAAATGTGCAGTTATTACAACCTGAAATTTTGGTCCAATCCTCAATGCCAACCCAAAGTTGATTCTTTTATAATATCAACAAAATTAACAAATCCTTAGGTAGAATGACCAATAAAAATAGAGAAAACACAAATACAAGATAATATTAAATTCAGGAAAGAAAGAGAGGACATAACTATCAACTTTACAGAATTTTTTTTAATTACAAGGGAAGACTATGAACAATTCCATGCCAACAAATTAGATTACCCAGATGAAATGGACAAATCCTAGAAAAACACAAACTACCAAAACTGACTTAAGAAGAAATAGAAAATCTGAGTAGTTCTCTAACAAGTAAAGAGATTGAATTAGTGATTTCAAAACTTCCCACAAAGAAAAGACTAGGACCAAACGTCTTCACTTATAAATTCTACCAAATTTTTTAAAAAGAATTAATACCAATCCTTCACAAACTTTTCACAAAAGTTTGTATTTCACAAAAAGAAATACAAGAAGAGGGAAAATTTTCCAACTCATTCTATGATGCCAGTATTATGATGCTCATTCTTGATACCAAAACCAGATAAAAACGTGGCAAGAATAGAAAACTACAAACCAATGCCTCGTTAAAAGATAATTACAAATTATCCTCAACAAAATGTTACAAACTAAATCCAACAATATATAAAAAAGATTATATACTATGGCTAAGTGGAGTTTATCCCAGGGATGCAAAATTGGTTTAAATACATAAACCAATTAATGTAATAGATCTTTTTAATACAATAAAAGACAAAACCCACCTAATAATCTCAATACATGCTGAAAAAGCATTTGACAAAAATCCAACACCCTTTCATGGTAATACACTAAAGAAATTAAAAATAGAAGAGAATTTTCTCAGTCACATAAAGAAAATCTATGCAAAAGACATCTACAAAATATATAATGTTGAACATGTCTGCTCTCACCACTTCAATTCAATAGTAGAGGGTCTAGCCAGAACAAATAGGGGGACAGAAAAGAAATAAAAGACATCTAGAATGAAAACTAAGAAGTCAAATTATCTCCATTTGCAAATGACATGATCTTGTATATTAAAAATCCTAAGGAATCTGCTAAAAAACTAGTAGAACTAAGCATATTTGTAGAATCAATATACAAGAGTCAACATATTTCTATACTCTTGTAATGAACAACCCAAGAATAAAATTAAGAACACAATTTAATTTAGAATAGCATCAAAGAGAATAAAATATTTATGGATAAATGTAACAAAAGAAGAGTAAGACTTTTACTCTGAAAACTATAAAATATTGCTTAAAATATTAAACAAATGGAAAGACATCTTGTGCTCATGGATGGGATGACCTAATATTGTTAAATGACAATAATCCTCTAATTGATCTACAGATTTAATATAATCCCATCAAAATTCCAGTTAGCATCTCTGCAGAAATTGAAAAGCTGATGCTATAACTCATATGCAAGTGCAAGGGATCTGGAACAGGCAAAATCTTATTGAAAAAGAAAAAGAAAGTTGAAGGACTCACACTTCTTAATATCAAAACTTGCTACAAAACTACAGTAATCATGACAGTGTGGTACTGGCATAATGATAGGCATATCGATCAATTCAATAGAATTGAGAGTTCAGAAATAAATCTATACTGTGGTAAATTGTATTTCAAATAGAGTGTCAAGAGAATTCAATCAGGAAAGGATGTTTTTTTTCCAAAACCAGCACTGAGACCACTCTATATCTACATGCAAAAGAATGAATTTGGACCCCTTCCTCATATCATACACACACACAAAAAAAACACAAAATGGATCATAGACCTGTGTAAGGGCTAAAATTTTAAAACTCTTCTGAAAAAAAATAACAGTGAAATCTGTGACTTTGAGTTTGGTAATGGTTTCTTTTTTACAATATCAAAAGTACAAGTGACAAAAGAAAAAAGAGATATATTGAACTTTATCAAATTTTAAAACTTTTGTGCTTTGGAGTACACCATGAAGGACATGAAAAGACAACCCACAAAGTGAAAGAAAATATTTGTCACTCATATCTAATAAGAATCTTGCACCCAGAATATATACAGAACTCTTATAACTCAATGATAAAAGAACAATCAAATTTTAAAATGGGCAAGGATTCTGAATAAAATTCTCCAAAGATTATATACAAATAACCAATTAACACATGAAAAGATGAACAACATCATTAGTCATTAGGTAAGTGCAAATCAAAACCACAATAAAATACAATTTCACACACATTAAGATGACTATAGGGCCGGCCCCATGGCTTACCAGTTAAGTGCACGCGCTCCGCTACTGGCAGCCCAGGTTTGGACCCCTGGTGCGCACCGACGCACCGCTTCTCCGGCCATGCTGAGGCCGCGTCCCACATACAGCAACTAGAAGGATGTGCAACTATGACATACAACTATCTACTGGGGCTTTGGGAGAAAAAAAAAAAAGGATGACTATAATCAAAAGGTCTGATAATAACAAGTGGTGGCAAAGAACCCTCATGTATTGCTAATGGGAATGTAAAATGGTGCAACCACTGTGTAAAATAGTTTGGCAGTTCCTCATATTAAACATAGAGTTACCATATGACCCAGCAATTTCACTCCTAGGTATATACCCAAGTGAAGTAGAAACATATGTCCAAAAAAAACTTGTACACAAATGTTCATAGCAGCATTATTCGTAATAGCCCCAAAGTGGAAAGAACTCAAATGTCCATCAACTGATGAATGCATGAAGAAAATCTGGTAAATCTATACAACTGATGTTATTTGGCATTAAAAATAATGGAGTACTGATACATGCCACAACACAGATGTATCTTGAAAACAGATAAGTGAAAGAAGCCATTCACAAAATACCACATATTGTATGATTTCATTTATATGAAATGCCAGAACAGGAAAATCTACAGATGCACAAAGTAGATTAATGGTTGCCTAGGGATGGGGGATTAGAAGGAATTGGCAGTGACTGCTAATGGGCAGGGTGTTTCCAAAATGGAGTAACTAAATTGTTGCAAAATTAGATTTCAGTGATGCCTCATATCTCTAAGCATATACTAAAAAAGCATTTAATTGTACATGTTAACTTGGTGAACCATAGGGTAATTGAATTATATCTAAATAAGCTGTTTAAAAATAAATTGATACGGGGGCTGGCCCAGTGGCATAGTAGGTTAAGTTTTCGAGCTCCGCTTCAGTGGCCTGGGGTTATCAAACCCCAGGCCTGTGCCTGATCCCAGGCGCAGACCCACACACCACTCATCAAGCCATGCTGTGGTGGCGACCCACATACAAAATAGAGAAAGATGGGCACAGATGTTAGCTCAGAGCTAATCTTCCTCAGGAAAAAAGGAGGATTGGCAATGGATGTTAGCTCAGAGCCAGTCTTCCTCACACACAAAAAATAAATAATAAAATAAAATAAATTGATATTAACTTTGTGAAATAATTCATAAGGGGAGAGGGATATATCACTGTCACTAGTACCTGGAGTAGGAATATATGCTACATAAATGATACATAGAATTTGTACCAAGGAAAATATTCAAAGTCTATAATATTTTTTAAATTGTGCAACTCTTCCACATTGTGTTATTGCTGGGAGGCAGTGTCCTGGGCAGGAACTACATTTCCCAACTTCCTGGGTATGTTCTTGGGATTAGCACTAGCCAATACAGTCAGCTGAAGTGATGTTTGCCACTTTAGGGCAAGGTTTTTAAAAAGCAAATATGCATTAACCTTGGTCTCTGTTTTCACTTCAGACAGTGGAAACAAAGCATTTGATTGTTATATGCCCTCAAAAATTGTCTTGCAGAAATGTCTGAAATTTTAGATTTTTTAATATCAGCAATGTTGCCCTAATACAAGAGGCAATAATATGTTATTATGAGTGTTAAATGAGAGCTTGCTGGTTTCTAATGAATAGATGGTAGCTTAGCCAAACTAGTTATTCTTCATTTTAATGGATATGTAGAATCAAAATCATGGATCTCAGGAGAAAATAGATGCATGCAAAGCTACATTGGGCTTTCTCTGTTCCCTTCTTCCTCTAAGGACAAGGGATATATTATACAGTTGCAAAACATACTGAAGTTAATCCCAAAAGTCTCCTAAAACGTTATCATATACACTCCCAGATTCCTTCTCTCTTGCTCATTTTCTTAGTCAAAATTACTCTTAGATAAGAATTTTCTCTAAAACAAAATAAACCCTTTCAAAAACAAGAAAACCAAATTTTCTCACTATGTATTTTATTACAGAAATAACTTTAGACTTTATAGCTTACATATTTTTGAAGGAGTGTATAAAAGGCATTACATGGATTCTTTTTGTTTAAAATATTTCTCTAAGTCGAGAAATACTTGATAATGTTTCTGTTAAGAACACAAAATTAATTTCTTATAACTGGTAGTATAAATCTTAGCAATTCTCTAATTCCAGAATATATCACAGTATTTTTGTTTGGTTGGAATAAAAACTTTCCATTTCCCATTAGAACTCACACATGGTGGGTCTGGATATTTGGTATGTGGTTAGTATCAGGTGTCTCATCTACATTAAATGCACTCATTCATCTACTTTTCTAAATATAAAGATATCATACAGTCAAACCTTCACCAGTGTGGCTGCAAAGGGTATAGCCCATAGCCTAGCCTAAGTAGTCCATCTTGGGAATCACAAGGATCTTATTTTCCATGTTAGTCTTGAGCCAATTCTATTCTCCAGGGCCTCTGAGGGCTCTTAAGGAAATCTTTAACCCTCTACAAATGAGTCCTCTAAGACTGAAGCAAGAAAGGTATGCGGGTTCCCAGGCCTTAAAGACTGGAAATAGGAAAATGTGTATCTTTAAGTGTATAGACTCCACAATCCATGAGCTGACTAGGCATTAGACAGAGACTGAGGACTAATTTATTTTGGAAGTTCTAGTTTTCATGAAATTCATCTGTTCAGTATGTTAGAAAACCACTCAATGAAGAAGGAAAATATCCCATTTCTGTCAAATAAGGACAAAACAAATGACTGTTCTCTAGGAACTGGGAATTCTGCCAGGAACTAGGCTCATCAACCTACTTCTCAGTTGCATATACGAAGAGGATTTTGTCCACTACTTTGTTCAAATCATACACCATTTGGTATAAAATGTATAAAATACATTTAATCAATGTATATATATGTATACATACATATTACATGTACATGTATATATATACACATATGTATATTCACACACACATGCATACATATATATATATTATATATACCAGTGTG